TTCTCAAGGGCTGGTACATACGTTTCCTGCATTTCCACCTACTGTCCAGCTGATTGGACAAATCCAGGTTGCTGTCCTCTGTCCAGGAGCGCTCAAATCAGCCATGAAGCAGTCCTGAGAGACCTCCTAACTGCTGACTTGTTGTGTGGAGAACCATTGGCTGCTGTCACCAGTCCAGGAAAGCCAAAACCAGCAAGGAAGGGGTCCAAGAAGGCCTCCCAACTGCTGTCCGGGACTTTCCCAAGTCCTCCAAGTGGTTGTCCCAAGTTTTCTACAAGACAAAATTGTTGTCCCTGCTGTCAAAACTGCAGTCCAGAGAGTTCGACATCACTTCCTATTGTCCTGGAAATTTCCTACAGCCACCAACTGCTGTCCACGCTTGTGGGGAAGGTTAATCTCGGCGAAGTGCCGGAGCACGTATCTCTCTTGTCTTTGGGTAAATTCGACACCCGACTCTTTATCTTCATAGTTGCATCCTTGAATGTGAATTTATTATCTTCATGAAGATCATATTAATGCTTCTCTGCTAAAACCTAATAATTGGATGAGTTGTGTGAGGGATCTTCTCATAGTAACTAATCTTATTGTTAGTATTGGAATCTATTGTTGGAACTATCCATATATGCAATGTTGGATTAAGCTGGCTATCTTTTGAACTTAACTTCTATGCATGTGAATTAACCTAAGCTAAGTACCACATAATATTTATCTTATCGTTCAATTCCGCATAAGATCTTACTTATTATTGCCTCTAAATCTAAGCGTGCAAACTTCTTTAAGCAAATCACTTTCGCATGAATATGTTTCACATCAATAATGTTTCACTCTACAACACTCCGCGAGATTACAAGATCACGGCCTGCAATCCTCTTCTTTATATCCTGTCACTTCACCTCACGGGTCAGTCCGGGTCAACTTTGGGTTAGCGAGTTGACCCAGACTCGGACTCAGACCGGAACCTGACCCATTTGTGAAACAGGTTGACCCTAACCGAGAATTTTTTGATTGGTTTCAAGTCGTATTTTTGGATCGTGTCACTACCCGGCCCTAAAACTCGAATTAAAGAGGCAAAAACAGACATTCAGACAGTAAATTAAATTTTCAATTACTAAATCTATCTCCAATACACTGAAAGAGCCACTAAACTTCAAAAACATAAACTTATATAAAATGAATTAAATAAATTTCTTCTGGTGTGCCACGTGTACGGTACACATTTTCATCTCTTCTATTCATTTTAATTATATTAAATTATACCTAAAAATGTTAGAACAATCAAGAGTAAGCTAAAACTTAATGAGCAAAACATACTTCTAAACTAAAGCAACTCAAGGCAATTTAACAATATCCATGATCCATTTTTCATTTCATATCATAAAATAATTATATTTAAACATATTATTTCATCAAGACTTTCAATATTATGCATAAATCATATATGTCATATATAACATATCTGTATTCATAACTTTCTCATTTTTCATTTCTCATAAATAATACAACCGTTACAAGAGTCACCGTCTAAATTAATATCAATAAAGGTACACTTTTTCATTTTCTTTTTCATAATTTTTTTTTCATTTTTCATAATTTTTTTCATTTACATGCACAAGTATATTGCATCCTCAACCAATATCATAAAGGGGTGTGCTTCATAAATCAACATGCACATGCAATCATATCTATCTATTCATTTCATTCTTATAACATTCATGAAATTTACATGATAATATGCAACATAACATATAAATTTTCTTTAATTTAACATGATCAATCATTATGTATGAGAAACATAAATCATGATCTAGTTAATAATAAAGATTTCATAAGCATGCATTATCTTTCAAAATATTTAATTGAAGGAAAAAAATTATCATTGTAAATAAAGAAATGTGAGTACTCACCTTGAACTTAAGAAATGTGCTACTTCACTTTTGCTCCTAATTATAATGACGGTAAATTATACCTTGGAAGACCTCGTCGTTACAATTTAACTGATAAATTTCTCTTAATTTCTCTAACTTGTTTAATTATAATTAATTTGTGCGATTAACAACTCAAATATTATTAATTAAAATTATTCTCATTCTCTAGAACTAGTTATTGAATGCACATAAATAGTCTTTATATTTACCTATATAAAAAATTGTCATATTAATAATTTTACAAACTACTACTGAATTCTCTAACTTAATATTTTAAAATTTATTCTCTCTTTAAGTAGATTATATGCCATAACTTCATTATGCTTCTAAATTCAATTGATTATTTGAAATATTCATGACTTAATTTAAAATCTCATGCACTTATAATTACCTTAATATGTATTCTTGTCTTTCGCTTTGAATCAAGACACTCCACACCATATTTTTCCTTCCTATTTGTTAATCACGTATTATGTTGTCATATAGAGAAAATAAAATATTTATAAGTGAATGTAAAAGAACAATTAAATTCAATTACCCCTTCTATCGATATAAATGAAAATTCACCGATTTGTTACCCAAAAAATTTTCTTCACTACCTTTTTCAATTTCTTCTTCTATCTCCCTTTAAAATAACTTATCTTTTCTTAGGATTAAATCACATAAGAAGAAAAATGTCAAAAGAAATGAAATTGGAAACTTACTTTCTTCCGTCTTCTTCCTCGTAGTTGTTTCTCTTGACTGACACTTCTCACGTGATTTGCTCCAAAAGGAATCAGCGAATATAAGTAATGACTCACGAGGAGTCACTATATATTCCTCCTGCATGCAATTAGTCACTTAGAATGACGAAAAGATCTGTCAAATAGATGCATGTACGCATGCGGCCCGCTCAGTTTCGCGTTTCTACACTCGGTTCTGCTCTGTGCAATAGTACAGAGTCGGTTCTGCTGAACCGGACCAATTCTGCTAAACCTGATAAGTCCGGTTCTCACAATCTCCCTAAGTTATAAAAATTTTATCCTTGAAATTCACTTATAACATCTAATTACATAAGCAAATAGCATCTTCAATTTTATTCAACATAAACTTCAACGTTGAATACATAACTAAATAAAACTAAACATTTGATATAACATAACAAAATATCCTGATAAAACCAAAATATTTAATATAGCATAACAATTTATTATATTAAGGACAGCTCATACATCTTTATTAACATCTATAAATTCATTGGGTTCCTGTTGAATTAAAGCATAAACTCGGGGTCGAACTTTCTGTCTTGATTGATTTTGTGTTGAAGCTGAAATTGATGGTTCTATCATTATTTGTTTGCCAAAACTCCTCTGCGAATGTGCTTCACTTTATCTCATTTTTCCTGAAGTCCTCAGAACCAATGTAGGACAATATTTTGCAATGTGTCTAGGCTGACGACAGCAATAATAAGTGTTGGAACCCATCAGACATTCACCCTTTTATAATATACCACACTTGCACAAAATTTCATGACTTTACTAATAGTTGCACTACTTACTACACTAAGACTAAGCTTGGTCTTCTTCCCATTTGAACCTTCAACCTGAGTGTTTTGGATATCTTCTTTAGTATCTTTATGTTGGTCCCTTCTCTTCTAAGTGATTTTGAAGTCAATCTCTACCCTCCTAGCTCTTTCCACCAACCCTGAATAATCCTTGATTCTTAAAGGTACTAAAGGTTTTCTAATTACATCTTTTAGACCAAATAGGAATCGATAATATTGTTTCTCTGTTGTTGCAATCAATTGCGATGCATATATGGATTGAGTTGTAAATTCTACTTCACATTGCATCACTGAATTCTCTCCTTGAATCAGTTTTATAAATTTATCCTGCATTTGCCACCTAAATGACATAGGTACAAACCATTCTATAAAAAGTTCCACAAAATCTTCCCAGTAACCAGTAAATTTGTAATATCTACAGAGGTTAGACTCTTTCGGCATCCGGATGAATCTCAATCCTATGGAAAGCTGACGTAGGATGATTGTTGGCCAAAGTAGCGTAGTGTCATATGAATATTTTGAGTTGGGTATTGGATTTCAAATAATATTACTTTTAAGAAACTAAGCTGCAAGAGAACAACAAAATACATGCACATACGAAAAAAAAAAAACATTTTTATGTTAGATAAATAAACATCATAAGAAGTGTACATGAAGCATAGACTAAGTTACAATACGTTTGAAAAAAAAAAAGTAGACAGAAAAAACACTTACTTGACAAAGTCAAGCATCTAAGGAAAAACTAAGGAGAAAAAAACAGAAAGAAACCATAAGGGAAAAAAATTATGTTACATTTGCACACATGAAACCTAGAATAAGAAATGATGTCATGATTAGAAGGCACACCTTAATTAGCATATCTGCATCTGCACGAGGAATAACAGGACAGCCAGTTGGTACCGCTGATCCAACATTGGCAATGAAATCTCCAACAGTATTTGGTTGGGACTCCCGACCAGGAATAATGTTCCTATTATTCAGAAGCATTCTTAGCTTCCTGGTATCAATGTCTACTGCAGAAGGAGAAGCAAGATTTGGTTGTGATTGTAGGATTAACTGTTGATGCTGTGTGCTCAAGAGCTGAAGCTGATTAAATGGTTGGGGTGACTGCATAAGTGATTTTTGTTGTTGCAATCTTAGTTGATCAAGGCCCTACAAAAAGGTGGTGAAGAAGTTAATAAGGCAGAACTTGAAGCTTCAACATAGTTCTGGCTAGATTTAAAAAAAAAACAACAACTAATTCAGGCCATATTAGAATAAAATCACACTGAATTAACCATGAAAAAAATTGTAGCATCAGTTGAAGAATAAAGGGTCTAAAGAAGTATTTTCATGGCCAAGGAAGCATTAAGCAAGTCTAAGACTGCCGCTGATTTCAGAAATTAATGACTTAAACGAAATTACAAAACAACAACTAAAATAAAACTAGGAAGCCAAAAGATACAGAACATGAATTATATAAGATATAATTTTTTAATTGCTTATAATTTTTAAACACTAAATTCAATAGCTTGTAATATGTGCATTAAAATAGTATTGAAAAGTACGTCTATTTCAGCAGTGAATTATCAGTAACACAATGCCAGCCATTCGAAATTATACCCATTAAACCAAGGTGACTATACAATCAAACTATTCTATTTGTTGGTTCATCACTCATGAAAAAGCACCAACCCTTTTTTTAAAATCAGGATTTTGAGTTCCATGAGTTAAATTAAGTTTAATTTAATAGATTTTCCCTGATGTTTACATCATGAGTTATTTAAATCTAGAACTGAAACCTCCTACAAACATACGCCTCCATTAATAATTATCCCTCCCACAAGCACTTATCATTAAGAATGATTGCTTGGGCTCATGTTTATTTATAAATTTAAATTGAGTTAATGGAAAATGGTGGGGGAATTGAGGTATAATCGATTAAGATCTCAAAGTTTCATCATCCTAAAAATATCAAAGGTTCCAATTTACAACAACAGAGAATCATTAGCCTTAATGTCTGTGAAAACTGATTATGAAAAACAAGGTTTAAAATTGCGTAAATAAGCCTCGAGGCGTTTTTCGTCCGTGAGGCGAGGCGTAAGCCTCGAAACGGTGTGAGGCGTAAGCCTCACGGACGCAGAATTGCGTAAATAAGAATTTAAGGGTTTTAGCAGATAAATAATAGCAAGATTCTATCATACAATAAAAACATCTAAATGAAAAGTGGAATTAGTGGAAATTAAGAAAAGAGATGCAATAAAATCATATTCCAAAGTACAAAATCACAAAATTATAGTCTATCAAAACTCCCAAAGTACAAATAAGAAGAAACATATATAATCCAATCATGTCCCATCACTAAATGGTTCTTCCAGAGACGCTACCGACATGTTTATCGACGACAGAATCGCAGATCGACAGCCACGATTCAGCGCCTCTACTTTTGACTCAGATGTCATGATGTATTATTTAGTTATTTACTGTTTTCCGTTTTTACCCCTGTGGGGAGTTGTCTTGTTATTGTAGCCCAGTGGGCAATTTTGTACTTTTCCTTTTTAATGAGTGGAGACCTATATACAGTGGTCTCAAATGATGTATTGGGTTAATGAATATTTTGAATGAAAATTGTGTTTTCTTTCTTCTTCTTCTTGCATGAGAGCTAGAGAAGGGAGGGAGCTCAGAGGGAGCATTTGCAAGACCCACCAGTCGTTGGAAGAGTCCGCGGCTCGTGGTTAAGTTCGTTCTATCTTATCTGTGTTTTCCCCTCATCCTCACTTAACCCAAATCCCCATCCTGTTATCCTCAATCCAAACCCCAACCTCACTCTGTATAACACCTAAGGGAGCCAACACGCCGGCCTTCCCCTTGGCCGTTGACCACCCCTCCTCCACCACCTCACCTCCCCTTTGACCCCACACCAACCCGCCAGCCAACCTACTCCAATAATTTGAAATTCATTTTCAATTGAATTAAGTTTCTTTCCTAATTCACATCCTAAGCAATTAGGAAAGTTTCTTTTTTTTTTAAATCCATTAACTGATTGGATTCCAACGTTTCTCAAGGCTTTACCATTTAGGGAACTTTCTAAATAGAGCAAAACTGAAATCAAATTTCAGATTCAGCATTGGTTTATTCACGTGAGGGGCCATCTAATTAATTTCCAACGTTTCTCAAGGCTTCGCCATTTAGGAAACTTTCTAAGTAGGAGCAAATCTGAAATCAAATTTCAGATTTGATTCAGTTGTGATTTATTCACGTGAGGGACCACCTAATTAGCATTAATCACTCCCTCTCAGCTCTCCCTATGGCCGGCCCACCTCTCCATGAAATTTCTCTCTCAAATTTCATTAATTGCTTCTCCAATTAGTTCCCCCATTCAAGGCCTTAATTCCCTTGATTTGAAATTTAAAATTTCAAATCAAATTTCCCTCCTAACTTAATCAAATTTGAAATTAAATCCAGATTTTGATTAAATCCCTAACACACTACTTCCAACCTAATTTCTCTAAACCCTAGCCCATCCCCCTTGCACCCGCCGGCTTCTCCCTCTCTCCTTGGAAATCCCGCCGCCCCCTCCTCTCCCTCTTCCTTCCCCGCGAACCACAAGTGCTCTCCCTCACCACGTCATATTTCCCCTCTTCTCGTTGGTGTTCTCCCAACAACGACAAGAATGCATGGCGGATCCCGAACTTGAATGTGGACTTGTGTTCGACGTCTACGGGAACATCCATGTCCTACGATCTCCGTTCTTCAACGTGTGATTTGACCACGACGACACTGTTGGAGAATACTTGGATTGAACTCTCCCCACCCTTGCACACATCATCGACGATCAGTTTTCATACTACGATTGGATCATCGTCGGCCACCCACTACCCTCATCTCCACCGGCTACCTCTCCACCAACGAAGGTCTTCGGCGCCGTCTTCCTACCGGTAATATCTTTCTTCGTATGGTTCATCTTCTTCAGCTAAAAGCCTACAAGTAGTTGAGTGAGAAGGCCCTTGAGGTGAACCTCTCATTGTTAAACGTTGGATTATGTTATGTGTACTTTGCATTTAATATTGCCGTGAACTTTGAAATAATTGTTTTGGTTATTCTCTCTTGCACGACTTTGGCCTAAGCAAGTTGAATCTTTCAAACTCTTAATTCTCTTTTACGTGCTAGAAATAAATTTATATGAGCAAAGCTTTAATCAACTATCTTTCTAATTTCTAAACGTAACTCCTAGTAGTTTCACATCATTCTTGGTATCAAAGCATGGCAGGCATGCATGACATGTTAGAAAAACATCCTAGGGTCTAACCTTGAGTTATATTTTAAATTTTGCATGCATATCATCGCATATTTAAGCTTATTCACTGTTTTCACTGCTGTTTTCAACAATTCCTGCACGCATCTAGTTGAATTATGTCATCCTAGCTAGTGTCTTAGTGCTGCCTTTGAATCCGTAGCGTTCCTAAGTATGTAGGACAACTACACCTTGAAGTTAAACTGCTGTCCTCACTGTTCCAGCAACTTTTAGACACCCCGTAGTGAACTTTAAGTCGGTATTTAGGTGCTGCCTACACCCTAAGGCCTTCCCAAAACACCTAAGCGACTTAACCTTTAACTGAACCCTGCTGTCCCAGTTTTTTCCTGCACTGTTTGGAACTGTTATGAAGCAATTTTAGAGCGTCTAGGTGCTGCCCTCTTGTCCTTAACCTTCCCTAGTGTCCCCTAACACTCCACCATGGATCCGGAACACATTTAAGCAACCTTAGACCTGATTGTGGGCCAATTGGAAACAGTTACACAACAAATTAGGGATACCCAAACGAATTTAGCGAAGTTTAGACGTCAAACGAGCGATAGGCTAGACAACATTGAAAGGATAGGAAACCCGGCCATCTACACCCCCTCTAGACCCCACTCTCCTTATGGTGAGGATAACCGAACTGATTACGGACCTCCTAGAGACCACTACCGACCCAATCCCCGACCCAATCACGAACCAGGAGGACGTGACGCACCTTGGAGAGACAACGATACCCAACTTCTAAAGAGTATTAAGATAGATGCCCCGACATTCGATGGTACGTTAGATCCCCAAGTTTTTCTTGATTGGCTCAAAGAAATGGATAGCTATTTCAAGTGGTACAATATTTCGGAAGAGAAAAAGGTTCTATTTGCTGAGATGAAATTGATTGGTAGAGCCAACCAATACTGGACCAACATAGAACACATGCGAGAAACGCGAGGAGAATAACCCGTAGCTGACTGGAGAACAATGAAACAAGAATTGAAGCGGAAGTATCTCCCCCCCTCTTACTATCCTAGACTTTTGGATCGCTAGAATAGGTTAACCCAGGGTAGTAAGCCCGTTAAGGAATATATCTCAACCTTTGATGATTTCATGATTCGTTAGAATAGGTTAACCCGATTTTAGAGAAACCTATTCTGTGTTAGCAACTGGAGATGAACAGATCATAGGAGATTTTATGTTGGAAGATGAATATTTATTCAAATCCCAAAAACTCTGTATTCCTATTCTGATAATTTCTTATTTGGGAATTGCATGCTAGAGGTTTAGCGGGTCACTTCGGACAAGCCAAGACAATAGTCGCTGTTGAAAATCGATTTTATTGGCCGAGTCTTAAGAGGGACGTTAGCAGATTAGTAAAGTGACATCACACCTGTCAATTGGCCAAACAACGGAAACAAAACACCGGCCTTTACACACCTCTCCCCGTGCCTAACCAACCTTGGCAGGATGTTAGCATGGACTTTGTCCTAGGGTTACCCAAGACCATTAGGAAGCATGACTCAGTCTGTGTAGTTGTTGATAGGTTTTCTAAGATGACCCATTTTCTCTCGTGCTCCAAAACTTTTGATGCTTCTAGAGTAGCCAAACTGTATTTTGATGAAATTGTGAGACTTCATGGGCTGCCTAACACCATTGTGTTGGACCGAGATGTAAAATTTACAAGTTATTTTTGGAAGACGTTGTGGTACAAAATGGGGACCAAACTTCAATTCTCTATCACCTTTCACCCCCAAACAGACGGTCAAACTGAAGTGGTGAATAGGAGTTTAGGAAATCTTTTAAGCACCTTGGTAGGAGAAAACATCCGGGACTGGGACTCTAAGCTGCCGATAGCTGAATTTGCCTATAACAACTCTGTGAACCG